TAATCGATTAGTCGACTAATCGATTAATCGACTAAGTTGGGTCTGTAAAATTCAAATCGATTAGTTGTCAACTTTACTACTAATCGATTTTCGATTTGTAACACTAGACTCCAGTATTTAGCGTTTAAATAAAAATATTGTAACCAGTATTTACGAAAAAAAAGTATTAGAAAAAATTTATTGCTTCGACATGTATTTATAAGTAATCAGTCCGTGTTTTTGTTACACTGAAATCCAAATTTAGACACGCGTAAAGATAACGCGTTTAAATAGACGCATCAAAAAAGTAATTTTCATGTTACTTGGCATAAATTAAGAGTTTACAGATAGGATCTAGGGATCTGCAAGCCCGGTGCCTAATAAAAGGCACAGGCATGTCATGAGCACAGATACAAAGACATCTGGCATAAAGCTAATGGGCACTTTTGAGGCACAGGCACTAAGTATTTGGGCACTTGTATTATAAGTATAATGAAAAATCGATCCTAAACTATCAGGCACTAGGACACAGAGTGCCTGCTCCAAAGGTGTCTAAAACATTACATTCGTACTTACAAAATGGCTGAAACTTTTGTGCCCATGGGCACGGGCAACCTCACAAGCATTAGTGCCAGGCATGACGCATATGCCTGGCATAGGCATTTGCATATCTCTAACAGGATAGTACAGTAGCAGTGATTAGTATTTTAAGCCGGCTAATATAGTCGATATATATGGGGCCTTTGCAGCAGAAAGGGCGAAATTACTCTCAAAATGAAAATGGATGTGGTTAACTAGGGTTACCCATGGGTGATTACCCGGATGGTAGAAAAAATCTTGATACGGACCGGTTACCCGGGTATTAGAGTATTCTTGTAATTGTTTATATAAATTTATTAGTGAATGACAAAAAAGCATCGGCCTAACTGCTAGTTTTATTCAATTAGCAAGTATAAATCTTTTTATTAAAAAATATAGTTAAGGAGTAGTCCGGTATAAATTTCATAGTAAAAATCGGCAGGCATTTACTAGTTACTTTATATCTGTTATATAATAAGTGGAATCCCGTATGTATAATTCAAATAAGAAAAAACCCTATAGTAAAAAAAAAACAAAAATATCTCAAACCGATTTTAATGATTTTACCACTTAGAATTATAAAAATTAAAGCTACAACTTTTATTAGAAGCAAAAGGAAGGTTTATATAATAAAAAAATATTTTTATATATAATCTAGCCAGATTTTTTCTTTTTAAAACCTTCACAATGTTATAAGGTGAATTTTATTAGATTTTATTAATACATTCTTAGTTAATGAGAGTATATTTAGCTACATGTGCAACTTTCGGTTGCCGATTTAAGTAGTCCACCTAAAGGTTCTATACTAGATTTCATATCTGTAATCTACTGTAACAAGAAGCTTATCTATTTAAACTCTCTGATGTTTCTCATTTTGTATCACCTCACAATTACATCAATATATACCTTATGCTGCTTTAATTGAAAACCACTCAAATTAACATATGCTACACTACTTGTATTCTATTTCTATAGATAACATTATAGGGTTCTTATACTATTAGGTTATTTTAGAGAAGATATAGTATGGATTCTCTAATCTTTCTATATCCTATACATTCCAGATTAGCTTTGCATACTTTCTGCTATGGTCAAAACTAATATTAGTAGTTAGAGTTAATCATTAAATTGCACAATTTCAGTATTTATATTTTTACAAGATTTATTTTAATTATAATACCTATATCAACCAAATCTTACAACTCTTTCCAACGATCTTCTGGTTAACAACAACAAAATCTGAACTATAGCAAAACATATAGGAAGGCAATAAAGTAGATACTAAACTTGGTTCTATAAGTAGGAGCAGCTTGTTATTGACGAAGTCTAAGCATCTAGACATAAAACATCAAGGAGCAGGCGTCAAAAGGATAGACAGTTTTTTTTGAAATTAAGTTTTTTCTTCTTTAACAGACTTTCTAAAATATTCGACATCCAAACCAAAAGAGTTATTCTGAAAACAAGTTTGTAGAAGTAGTTAACGTGCACTTCTAAGTTGGTAGAAATAGAGAAGCTGGATTATACAACTGTAAAACTTACAAGAAGAACCTTACATATTCTTGTTAGCCCACCACTTTTTTTTGAGAAAATTTTTGTAAAAAGTGGGTGTTTTAGCTTATCCTCTTCAAATGATCGACATTACGTATACCAAACAAGTCAGCATTATTTATCTCCCAAATCAGAACGTAACAATAAACACATGTATATACGTGCCTTGAATGCAATGGATATCTGTACAAATGATGCTCTGAGACTCTGTTCTGACTTTTCTATCTTAAATTGGTCGATGAAATGCGTAGATTAATGTTGACAATTTTGGCTTGGTATGTGTAAATTTAGTTTGATGATTTAGGGCAAAACAAAGTTTTAGAAAGAAAGATAATTAGTTGTTTTTGTAAGAAGAGTTTTTCAAACACAATTAAAGGTAAGTATTATATTTTATTTTGATTTATGTAGTCGTTCTTCTTATCTATAAAAGGGAAACAGAAATTATTCCCGTTATTCATAATCGGTAATAGAAGTCTTTAACTCTAAAGATCTTGAAAGCTTTGTTTTTTTTGTGGGGCTTTGGCAGCGGGGTAATAGGATAAAAGTGTCTTGTCAAGACCGGTCTTACTAAACCCGTGGTCGAAATTGGGCATGTAGAATCCGAATGGTAAAAATTGTGTCGCGCTTCTAATACTAAAACAACATATTTTATTTTATTCTTCACACAAAGCTTTCCGGTTTTTGCAGAATATTCTATTATCGCTTATATTTAACGTCGATACAGATTTTTTATTCTTATTATATTTTCCGTTAGTACTTAACTTTAGAATGAGTTTTTCTTGAATGATTTATTCATTCATGCTTACTCCGTTATTGGATACAACTTACAGGTTGTTATATGTACACTTAGTCGTAGGATACACCTCTACGTGGTGGTTAGGACAAATAGGCTAATTTTTTTTAGCCGAAACGAAGTATTCTTATGTAGGAAAAAAGTAACTATACGAGTTGGTTATGATTGTGATTAAAGAAAAAATTAGAATAATCGTTTATAAAATTTATCGATATACTAGTATTCACTTAAATTTTGTTATAAATAACAATGTGACTAATAAATGTGACTATTATAATGTTTTTATTATTGATAATTTTACTATCTTTATCATAAACGTCTTCACAAATCACTCTATTAGACTTTATTATATAAGTGTGTGTGTGTGTGTATACATATATATACTCTTATTTTTTACATTTCTGAAAGTCTTACAATTTCATAAACTATATACATGACTAAGAAACTTATACATTGCATATATCATTCATAAAAGGTAACTATAAAAAGGAATTATGCATTTTTAAATAAAAAAAAAAAAAGAAAGACAGACGAAAAAAAATAAAAAATTATATTATGTAATATTTAATGTAAATCTTAGAATTGTTTTTTTTTCATTCATAATAGTTCAGAGTTAAATATACTTTGTGTGTTGCCCCAAGAATTAAAACATATGAAATAATTGAAATCCTTGCTTATAAAAAAAGTACTTTCATATAGGATAGACAAATCTTTCATGAATATAATCTTCCTCACGAATATAATGTTAAAAGAAAAACAATAGATTAATTATATAGTAATAATAATATTGAAAAAATGATTTCAAATATATTATCAAAAATATAAAATAAAATAATTAACGCAATGCCCATTAAAACTTATTAAACATACAACAAAAGACAAAAAAAAACTTGTCATGCCCATAAATCACCAAGTTCCTTTCTTGTTTTGTTAATTTCTACTTTTAATTCATCTAATGAAGTCTTTAAAGTTTTTACGTCATCAAATTTACGTTGCTTAGTCGCCTCTACGATATAACCTTGAACCAATTTTTCTTGTTCCAAAAGTACTTCTAATTGTTCTCTAATTTTTTCTTCACCTTTTACCGATTTAGTGGAAGATGTAGAAATTGTTCGAGTTCTACCATTCTCGAACACTGAAAGAAGCATATCTGGTGATGATTCGTGATGATAATCATATTCATGTTCATTGTCATGATCTTTCTTAAGAAGTTTTGGTAAAACTTTAAGTGGTAACATATTTTGTTGAAGATATTGGTTTGCTGCTAAATGAATATTGGCTTGTAATCGTTTTTCAGACTTGGAACGCGAAAGTAATGAATTAATTTTTTTACTAATCGAATCAAATTGAGCAAAATTATCCAAAAGTTCTTTTCGCGTTCGTGCTGCGAGCTGATAATCGGCATGTGTCTGATTAACTATTTCTTGACTCCTGTACAAAAATATATTAATTTTAATTTAATTTAATTAAAAATTTAATTAAAATTAATTTATGAAAAGAAAATATATAAAAAATGATATTGTAACTTTAACATGATAAGCATGTCTTGGAACTTTGGCAATGTAGTATCAATTGCGGTCTTGATTTTCATTAATTTCTATTATTGATATGATTAGATTATTAGACATAAGTTTAAAATTAACACTAATTATTCATTCAAAATTAACCTGATACAACATGACGACTGGTGGAGTCTTTGAAATTTCTTCATTATATTCTTTTCTCCTATTAGTAAATACAATAAATGATCAATAATCACAAAAAAAGTACAAAATCATGACTTTATTATTTATCACACCTTTTGATATACCTGAATACAGCATCTCTACATTGCTTACATGCCCTGACTTCACCAACAGAATCTTGGTCTGCTGATTCTAAAAAAATAAGAGTTAAATGAGAATGATAATTAATAAGAGTTAAATAAATCAAACATCTGAGCAGTTACCTGAATAATTAGTTAAATTCAAGGAAATTTTAGAAGAACACTTTTCACAAACTACGCGTCCACATAGACGGCAATGATGCCTGCGGTTTGTTATCTTGCCAAATTGAATGCTGAACGAACAATTGATTAATATAAATTAAAAATAATCTTTAGCAATTTTATAAAATAATAGGTTTATAATTATTATCATTATTATTTTTTTTACATACTCGCATAAAGGACAATTTGTCACTGATGCATCATCTTCCCATTTAACAATAGACTGTTCAGAAGCTATTTGTTATTAAATCAAATTAAACAATTTTTTTAACCGAAAATAAATAATATTAACCCACAAAGATTTGTGGCGCATAATTCATATTTTACCTCTCCTTCTATGCATCATAGATAAAGGAGGTTTTAATCCACCTTGTGGGTTATTTTCAGGGTTTGCATGAGTAGCATAAACTTTGGCAAGCTAAATGAATGTACCAAAAATAATAATAATAACAAATAAATAAAAAAAAAAAAATTCTGTTATTTTTAATTTATCAATAGCATAAATAACAATTGTTTTAATAAGCATTTTTTTTTAATAAACCTTTTCCAAACGTTTTTCCAAACGATTTCCTTCTAAATGCGCCCTTTCAATACCCTTTGTTCTGCTTTTGATAAATGTTGTAGTGTGACTTCTTATCACACCTAATTTAATTCAGATGAAAATTAATATCATTCATTGTATTCTTGTATATTGGTGAGAAATATTAAATAAAATAAATAGATAAATAGATAAATACAATAAATAGATAAATAAATAAATAGGAATACCTTCGGTATCTAAATAACCTTCACGAGATTGAAAACAATCATCACATACT